GGGGTTGAGTGGGGAGTCTGTCAGGTTGGCTTTATGGGGCCCTGTGGTTTCTAACAGCAGCCCTGGCTGTGGGCATCATTGCCAATTGCATCTGAGTTGCAAGGACATTTCCTAGTCTGGCGCACATTAGTCCCAAGAAATCCCCAACTTTTTAGAACAACCAACTATAGAGATGTCTATTTAAAAATCAAAATGACATAGCCTTTCGTCCAGCGAATCTGCATGTACATTAATTAGGTGTATGAATGTTCTTTTATTATTTGCAGTAATAAAATCCTGATGGTCACATTTATTTGCTCATTCCCTCCAGCGTTTTCTAGAATTGCCACATTGTAGTCTGTGCTACAAAGACAAATGATTTCCCATGCTCCTCAGCTCCATCTAGTGGCCACAATGCTGTATTTTACCACTGCCCATAATATAAGAACATTTGTTCAAAAGAGAACATTTAGCCTAAAGAACATTTGTGTTGGTCATGATTCGCTCAGAACGCATGTACACGCAGATCTGCTGGATGAATGGCTATGCAGAGACCTCCTAATGTAATTTCCCTTTTTTTTGTGTTCTAATGAATTCTGATTTCCTGTTAATTTTCTTTGCTCCTTTAAAGGCAAATATAAAACAAACACATTAATGCAGCTTTTTTTTCATTTATACATCATGAAATATATACAGAAATCCAAAAAAGTGTAAGTGAAGGAAAATGACCTGGTATGAGCCTCTTGCAGTCTCCTGTACAGCAGAGCTCAGACTATGAGAGAAAGAAGCAGCACCAGGAGCCAATTAGTTGTGCTCATGTACTAACAAAGAAATGTGCTGGTAGGAGGAGAGAGCAGGGTGACAGTGAGATGAGCTCATTGGTCTACTGTTTGTTCTTTCATCACTGTCCAGTCACAGGCTGGGGGAGGCACTTGTAAGTGATAATGACCTGCAGCCGATTAATTCTCCTACCCTGTGAGATGGGACTGCAGTGCTGTCTTAATACATGGGTACCAGATGCATAGGGGCCACATGATAACCTTGCATTATATCATACTTGCCAACTGTCCCAGATTTGCCTGGACAGTTTTGCTTTTTACTAAGCTGTCCCGGGATGACCCAGGCAGTACTGTGCCCTCCTGACCCAGTATTGTGCCCTCCTGACCCAGTATTGTACCCTCCTGACCCAGTATTGTGCCCGCCTGACCCAGTATTGTGCCCTCCTGACCTAGTATTGTGCCCTCCTGATGCAGTATTGTGCCCTCCTGACCCAGCATTGTGCCCTCCTGACTCAGTATTGTGCCCACCTGACCCAGTATTGTAATGTGCCCAGTATTGTGCCCTCCAGACCAGTATTGTGCCTTCCTGTCCCAGTATTGTGCCCTCCTGACTCAGTATTGTGCCCACCTGACCCAGTATTGTGCCCACCTGACCCAGCATTGTGCCCTCCTGACCCAGTATTGTGCCCTCCAGACCCAGTATTGTGCCTTCCTGTCCCAGTATTGTGCCCTCCTGACCCAGCATTGTGCCCTCCTGACTCAGTATTGTGCCCACCTGACCCAGCATTGTGCCCTCCTGACCCAGTATTGTGCCCTCCAGACCCAGTATTGTGCCTTCCTGTCCCAGTATTGTGCCCTCCTGACTCAGTATTGTGCCCACCTGACCCAGTATTGTGCCCTCCTGACCTAGTATTGTGCCCTCCTGATGCAGTATTGTGCCCTCCTGACCCAGCATTGTTCCCTCCTGACCCAGTACTGTGCCCTCCTGATGCAGTATTGTGCCCACCTGACCTAGTATTGTGCCCTCCTGACCCAGTATTGTGCCCTCCTGACCCAGTATTGTGCCCTCCTGACCCTCCTAGTATTGTGCCCTCCTGACCTAGTATTGTGCCCTCCTGATGCAGTATTGTTCCCTCCTGACCCAGCATTGTGCCCACCTGACCCAGTATTGTGCCCTCCTGACTCCACCTGTACAATGCCCTTCTCCCCTTCCCCCCATACTGTGCCCTTTATGTTGATTTGTCTTTGATTTATGTTTTCTTATTGTTTAAAATTAATTTTATTGAAAGCACTAATAAATATATGTTTAAATCTATCAACTATTTATACGTTAATTCTTGAGAGTAGGTGCATAAACTGGGACAGGCTGGTAGGGGCCCCAGTGCATCACTTTGCCCAGGGGCCCATGAGGCTATTGCTGTGTAGCAGAGCTCTGTCAATCTCAGGAATGGATGGACAGAAATACAAATCCTTTGGCAGGTAAAACAGCTACCATGTAGGCATGTCATCTGCTTTTCTTTAAGTCTTTCACATGGAGTTCAGCCTAAAATGACTCTCCAAATAATGTATAGATGTAACTGAAAGTATTATTCAGGTGCAAGGAGTCTCTGCAAAGGACTTTAACGTGCTGGCAGCTGTTGCAAGGATTGACTCCCATCTTCATGCCAGAGCCACCAGGCAAGAAACAGGTTAAGCAGCCTGCAGTGAATCACGTCAGATGATGCTGGACTGGATGAGGAGCAAAATACCTTCTACTCGATACAGAAGACACCCTGCCTGCCTGCCTTCCCCGGCTCACAGTCTGCTCATGCTGTTGGATTGCTTGGACGGCAGCTCAGGTCCAGCCAGCCCTTCCACTCCAGGGGTCCACTTGGGGTTAGTAGACAATTAAAGGGAAGCTCCAGTTCTTGCTGTTTTCCCAAGCGACTGCGTCTTCATTTGTATGTTGTTGCTGTCTGCAGCCTTGGAGCCGGCCATCATCGTCGCACAAGGTAAGATGCCATAACAGTTATTCAGTGACCAGAAGAAATGATTTACTGCTACTTTGTGGGAGAGAACATATCACCGCTGCTGGAAGCAAAGCAAACACAACATTCAGGCCTCATGCACACTGCATGTTCTAAAAACGTTAGTAGTGTTAGCTGTAGAATGCTGCATTAAAAACGTGAGTTTTTTAAGGTTTTTCGCATTTTTGCATTCGCTTACATAGTTAGTCTGGCTGAAAAAAGACAAAAGTCCATCCAGTTCAGTCATAAGAAAAAAAAAGTTATAATCCTACACCCACAGTTGATCCAGAGGAAGGCAAAAAAAACCAGCAAAGCACGATCCAATTTGTATCCAGTTATATTCTGTGTATCCAAGAAAGAATCCAGGACTTTCCTACAGCAATCCAGTGAGCTGGCCACAACCAACTCTGGAGGGAGTCTATTCCACATTCTCACAGCTCTCACTGTGAAGAAACCTTTCCGTGTTTGGAGATTACATTTCTTTTCCTCCAGACGTAAAGAGCGCCCCCTTGTCCTCTGTGATGACCTCAGGGTGAATAACTCTACACCGAGTTCACTATATGAACCACTGATGTATTTATACATGGAGATCATATCCCCCCTTATGTATTATACGTGGAGATCATATCCCCCCTTATGTATTATACATGGAGATCATATCCCCCCTTATGTATTATACATGGAGATCATATCCCCCCTTATGTATTATACATGGAGATCATATCCCCCCCTTATGTATTATACATGAAGATCATATCCCCCTTATGTATTATACATGGAGATCATATCCCCCCTTATGTATTATACATGGAGATCATATCCCCCCCCTTATGTATTATACATGAAGATCATATCCCCCTTATGTATTATATATGGAGATCATGTCCCCCATTATGTATTATACATGGAGATCATATCCCCCATTATGTATTATACACGGAGATCATATCCCCCCTTATGTATTATACATGGAGATCATATCCCCCCTTATGTATTATATATGGAGATCATATCCCCCATTATGTATTATACATGGAGATCATATCCCCCCTTATGTATTATACATGGAGATCATATCCCCCCTTATGTATTATACATGGAGATCATATCCCCCCTTATGTATTATACATGGAGATCATATCCCCCCTTATGTATTATACATGGTGATCATATCCCCCCTTATGTATTATACATGGAGATCATATCCCCCCTTATGTATTATACATGGCGATCATATCCCCCCTTATGTATTATACATGGAGATCATATCCCCCCTTATGTATTATACATGGAGATCATATCCCCCCCTTATGTATTATACATGGAGATCATATCCCCCCTTATGTATTATACATGGTGATCATATCCCCCTTTATGTATTATACATGGTGATCATATCCCCCCCTTATGTATTATACATGGAGATCATATCCCCCCTTATGTATTATACATGGTGATCATATCCCCCCTTATGTATTATACATGGAGATCATATCCCCCCCTTATGTATTATACATGGTGATCATATCCCCCCTTATGTATTATACATGGAGATCATATCCCCCCCTTATGTATTATACATGGAGATCATATCCCCCTTATGTATTATACATGGAGATCATATCCCCCTTATGTATTATACATGGAGATCATATCCCCCTTATGTATTATACATGGAGATCATATCCCCCTTATGTATTATACATGGAGATCATATGCATTTTTGCATTCGTTTTTTTCAGCGGTTTAAGTGTTTTTTCAGTGTTTGCATTTTTTTAGCAAAATTAAACTCCCACAAAATCTTCAGGCTCAAAAATGCTCATAAACGCTGGATTTGTTCTTGTTATCAGCATTAGAGCATTTTTAGGCTCCATGCACACTGGGGGATACTAATAATAATACTGGTAGTGTTATCTGTGTAAAGTCACATTAAAAACGCAAGTTTTTTAGCGTTTATTAGCATTTTTGCACTAGTGGTTAGCCTCGTTTTTTCCACGTTTGCCTTTTTTTACTAAGAAATAATTATTTTTTTTCGCTCAAAAAAAGTAAAAAAACGATGGTTTGCTGCATTTTTCAGCATTAGAGCATTTTTCCAGCTAAAATAACTCCTCTAGAAACCCACTAGTATTGGGGCTTTTTTGATGTTGATTCCAGTCTATGTGTGTGTGGACACATAGGATAACATGCTGGGGATGGACACATAGGATAACATGCCGAGGATGGACACATAGGATAACATGCCGGGGATGGACACATAGGATAACATGCCGGGGATGGACACATAGGATAACATGCCGAGGATGGACACATAGGATAACATGCTGGAGATGGACACATAGGATAACATGCAGGGGATGGACACACATAGGATAACATGCCGAGGATGGACACATAGGATAACATGCCGGGGATGGACACATAGGATAACATGCCGGGGATGGACACATAGGATAACATGCCGGGGATGGACACATAGGATAACATGCTGGAGATGGACACATAGGATAACATGCTGGGCATGGACACATAGGATAACATGCTGGAGATGGACACATAGGATAACATAGGATAACATGCTGGGCATGGACACATAGGATAACATGCTGGGGATGGACACAAAGGATAACATGCTGGGCATGGACCATAGGATAACATGCTGGGGATGGACACATAGGATAACATGCCGGGGATGGACACATAGGATAACATGCCGGGGAAGGACACATAGGATGACATGCCGGGGAAGGACACATAGGATAACATGCCGGGGATGGACACATAGGATGACATGCCGGGGATGGACACATAGGATAACACGCCGGGGATGGACACATAGGATAACATGCCGGGGACGGACACATAGGATAACACGCCGGGGATGGACACATAGGATAACATGCCGGGGACGGACACATAGGATAACATGCCGGGGACGGACACATAGGATAACATGCCGGGGATGGACACATAGGAGAACATGCCGGGGATGGACACACAGGATAACATGCTGGGGAAGGACACACAGAGTGAACATGCCGGGACACATAGGTGAACATGCCGGGGATGGATACATAGGATGACATGCCGGGGATGGACACA